AGAGAGAGAGAGAGAGAGAGAGAGAGAGAGAGAGAGAGAATGAATGAGAGAGAGAGAGAATGAATGAGAGAGAGAATGAGGGAAAGAATGAGAGAATGAGAGAATGAGGATGTGAGCTAGCTGTGTTCACCAGGGACAAAAATAAAGACCTCAAAGGTACACCCCAGTGACATACTTCCTCCAATCACACCCTACCTGCCTATAGTTATTGCCCAGTTAATCCATATCAGTGGATTAGTCTATTGATTAGATTACACATCTAATAATCATCTCACCTCTGAAAATTCTTGCATTATCACAAGTGAACTTTTGGGGGATATCTCATATCTAAACCATAACATTAATTTAGACAAAAATTGTACATGTTCCTAGTGTATGATGTGGTGTTTTGATTAAAGTGTGCATTGTGAAATGACTAAATCAAGGTAATTCACGTGTCCCTCGCCTTAACATATTTATTTTTGTTTATTTTGTACTTGGGATTGAACCCAGGGGTGCCTAACCACTGGGCAACATCTCCAGTCCTTTTAATTTTTTATTTTGAGACAGATTCTCACTAAGTTCTGAGGCTGCTTTGATCTCTCAATCCTCCTGTCTCAGCTTCCCAAGTGGTGAGGATGCTTATGATCTACTCTCGGCAATTTTCAAGTACACTGTGTTGTTATTAACTGTGGTCACCATGCTGTACAAGAGATTTCCACAACTTGTTTGTTGTGTTTTTACTGAAACTTTGTACCTTTTAACTTCCCTCACCCTTGCTTCCTGGCAGCTATTGTTCTATTCTTTGCTTCTGTGAGTATGACCTTTTTAGGTTCTACATGTAAATGAGATGGTGGAGTATTTGTCTTTCTGTCCCGGGTCAGTTATTTCTGGATGTGTGACCTCATTGCATTCGTCATCTGTAAAATGCCTACCTCCTTTCCTCTACCTGCTCTACAGAGCTATTGTGAAACACAGTGAAATCTTAGTCTTAACAGTTCTAGCATTGTGAGAATTCTGAGTCTTAACATTACCATCCACATATTAAGAACTGCTTGCTTGGGGCTCAAAAATTTGCTCTCATTTAAATCTGGCATCCACAGTGACATGTATTTCATGTTGAGCAAAGCAATGAGATTTATAAAAGAGCTTAAATTTAGTTAATTCTTTGTTACTTGGGAATATTTGGGATCATTGAATTTGCAGAATTTTTAGACCTAAGTTTCCTTTATCTCTTTCATTACTTAGAAAACAGTAATGCCATCTATTTGGACTAGTAGAGGCTTAAACAACCTACAAGTACATTTCTCTTTCATGTAATAGTCCAGGTAGAAATGGTCCAGGACAGTTTTAGGGGGTAGGTTGGTACATGGAGCCAGGGATGGAGGTGTCTCTTTTGTTTTTAAAAAAATTTTTAGTTATAGTTAGATACAAGTTTATTTTATTTATTTTTTTGTTTTATGTGGTGCTAGGATCCAACCCAGGGCCTCAAACGTGCTAGGCGAATGCTCTACCACTGAGCCACTAACCCAGTGTCTATCTTCTTTTTCATGTGGCTTTTATCTCTTGGCCCAAAGTGGCTGTCCCAACTCTGATCATTCGGAAAGGGATGAAAAGAAGACAATGACCACAGCCTCACATCTCTGTATGCACATCCCTGTGGGCAGAACTATTCAAGTGTCCACTTGGCTAGGGAGTACTTTTGAGCTCAGTTCCATGTGTCCAGATAGAAATTCAATTACTAAAGCAGGGAGACTGAGTATCATTGGGGATGGGTGGGCAGTGTCTGCCACAGGTGTCCAGGGTCATGTCAGTAATCTCCACTTAAGGAGTTCACAGATATGTGGAAGGTAGTTTTTATTAGACCATCCCCATCCACAACTATGGGATGACATTTAAAGAGAAGAATGGGGAGCTTGAGGCTGTTGGCTTAGAAGAGGCTTGGAGATTTTATTTGTGCTTTTCTTTTATTCAATCTTTTGAAGCCATTTATTATTCATGGAGTTCTTGGTTATTCCTTCTTGCCACATTCCAGGCACATTTGTAGGTGCTGGGGAGTCAGAAATCATGATTCCCGCTCTCCAAAGGTCTACTTTACAGGGGAGATGGATATCACACAAAAGGAGAGAACTCTCTGCTACGTACTGTGATAGAAGGCCCTGGGCAGTGCTGGGGGAAGACCTAACCACCTCTAGCAGGAATGAGTATGTGTGTGTGTGTTGGATGCAGGATGGGGTGAGGTCCTCGGAAGGAGGAGGTTTGATCCGGGTCAAGTTCGCTCACCTTGAATAGTGAAGGGTCCCTGGGAGTATGAACAAAGTGCAGTGATGTTAAGAGGGTATTACCTGGGCTGGGGTTGTGTTTCAGTGGTAGAGCGCTTGCCTAGCACATGGGAGGCACTGGGTTTGATCCTCAGCAGCACATCAAAATAAATAAATTAAAGGTTTTGTGTCCATCTACAACTAAAATAAATAAATAAATATATATATGGCTATTATCTAGGGTCAAGTCCATGGTCTCATGTTTTATCATTTTCTCTTCCTAGAACCTCTCACTGTGGACATTGAGAACCATCCTGAGAAGGAACAATGCTGTCCCGATGGGAACTATCTCTTTACCTGCTGGCTTCACTAGGCTTCCACTTCTATTCTTTCTATGAAGTTTACAAAGTCTCCAGAGGTAAGGATCCAAGCTTTTCTGATCTCTTATCACAAAAAAAAAAAAAAAAAAAAAAAGCGAGGAGGGAATGCCCACAGATATAAGATTCAGGAAGATGGTTCCATAGGATTAGGATGACTTGGATCCTGCTTTTCTTTTGCTCATAGTTTGAATTAATGACCTGAGTTCATGACATGCTTTATCTCAATGCTGTGGTCTTTTAGGTGATTTTGTGACTCATCTCCTGTAATAGCTGCTGCTACGTGTGTGTTTGTGTGTGTGTGTGTGTGTGTGTGTGTGTGTATGTGTATGTATATGCAGTTGTTGGGGACAGAACCCAGAGCCTGGTGCATGCTGATCATATGCTCTTCCCTGAGCTACACCCCTAGCCTCTCCTGTAATCGGAGGATTTGATTCAATAGCTGTTGAAGGCCCTGGAGGGAACTTGCCTTAGGAATTTGAAGTATAACTTTTAAATTTCTCTTTCACCAACATTCTTTTCAGGCATATCTCAGACATATGGAGACAGTTTGAAGGTGTTAGTGTTTCAGACTCTTTTTATCTTCTTTATTTTTTCATTAGTCAGAGACTTGCTGTGTTCCCCAGACTGGCCTCGAGCCTCTGGACTTAATCAGTCCTCCATCTCAGCCTCCCAAGTGGCTGGGACTGTAAGAACCTACCACCACACCCTGCTTCCTTTTATCTTCTCGTTCTGCCATATTTAATGTGTTGCTGTTGTCTGTGTGTTGGAGGTGAATTACCCCAACTCATATTCTAGCCCATAGTAAGGGGAACAGGGTCCCGCTTTTCTTTTGACAGCAGTTTGGCAAGAGTACCTGTCACTCCTGCTCATTTGGTCCAGTTGGTCAGCACTGAGCCACATGGCCACAGCTGGGAGACTGGGAAGTATAGTCCTTAGCTTAGTGACCATGTGCTACCTAAAATCTAAAAGAATTTTGGAGGGACCGGGGGTAGTCTCTACCATAGTTAGGGACAATTTCTTAGATATAATGGAGATTGTGGAGGTTGTCCTAAAGAAGGGCAGGAGCTAGTCAAGTAGAGAGGAGAGTTGAGGAGCTGTGGCTAGAGATGGCTTTGCTGGCGAGTGGACAAGCTAGTGTAATACCATTGGGACATGAGAAAGTGAAATATGATCTAGGAACTGCAAACCACTCATGGGATGTAGTGTATGTCTGGAATGTGGGATATGATGAGGGGGTGGAAATAGTTGAACTCAGATCAAAAAGCTATGGATTGTGAAAGACATTGTATATTCTACTGAGGGATTTGGATTTCATTTTAAAGGAGGGAGAAACGTTTTAAAAGTAGGTGAGGTCACTTCAAATGGAAAAAGTAGGAGCCAGGGGTATAGCTCCAAGTAGAGTACATGCTCAGTATGTGCAAGGCCCTGGGTTTGATCCCCAGAACTACCATAAAATAAAATGGCAATGTTAGGTTTGGGGAAGCACCACAGAGTGTCTCTTGTCTGTTGTGTGCAGACTACCTTATGGATCACCAGGATTGGTTTGGATACAGATCACCAGTATTGACTTTTCTCTCCATTTTACTCACATCCCAATTAAAGCCATGGGCTTGATGGCAGGGACTGACTAAAGTAGAGGGGGGTTGGTTTTGATCAGGGCTGGCCACGCAGTTGTGTTTCCTGCTGAAGCTCTGGTCTCTCAGCCCATGTAGAGGAAACGAACCTGCTGTGTCACACACCATGTTGGCTACTTTGTGTTTCTCATCTCATTGAATCTTTGGCACAGCCAAAGATGAGATAGTACATGACTTAGAAGACAGGTTTGGCAACAGGAATGACATCCCAGATAACTGTGGTCCACAGTGGCTATGGTGTCTAGGTGGCATTAGATATCCTGGTTCCTTCTCCTGTGTCTCTCTGAGGTCCTTAGCACAGAGCTCCATCTCATGCACCGGGGCTGCTCCAGGAGTCAAAGGATGGAAGGGGAGGAGAGTCAACTCCTTTTAAGAAAGTGACCTGAAAGTTGCTTATGTCATATATATTCAGTTGTGTCCCATTTACTGGAACCTAGTCCTGTGGCCACATTAGTTGAGAAAGAAGCTAGGAAGCATAATCTTCCACTAGGAGGTCATTTTTCCAGTGTAAACTCAATGGTTTTATGATAGAGGGAGAAAGCAAGAATGGATATTAGCAATTAATCAGTCTCCTCCATAGATGGGTGTCTTAGTTATCGATTGCTGCACAATGAATTATCCTAAAATCTTGTGATTTAAAATAATACCCGCTATCTATTATTTCTCACTGTTCTGGGAGAATTTTCCCCTTCTGGAAAATAGGCTTTACATATATGCATCCATATACATATCAGGGATTGAACCCAGGGGACATAACCACGGAGCCACATCCCCAGCTCTTTTTATTTTTTATTTTGAGACAGGGGCTTACTAAGTAGCTGAGGGTCTTTCTGAGTTGCTGAAGCTGGCCTCGAACTTGTGATCCTCCTGCTTCAGCCTTAGGTGTTGCTGGGATTAGAGGCGTGTGCCCCTGTGCCCTGCAAAGTTTTACTTTTTTTTTTTTTTTTACTATTGTTTTATATATATATATATGTATTTATTTTTTAAAAAAAATATTTATTTATTTTTCTAGTGTTCAGCTGACACAACATCTTTGTTTGTATGTGGTGCTGAGGAT